ACCCATGACTGACCCCTGCAGGACCCCACTAGATGTGCCCTCCCAGTTTGACAGCAAATTAATTCATAATTACTCTTTGAGAAGAATACCCACTTCGTCAGACGCAGACCCACATGGTTCTGATGAAGTGGTTATTCACCCAAGAAAGCTTATGCTCCAATACATCTGTTAGTCTTAAAGGTGCCACTGGACTCTCTGTTGCTTTTTACAGATCCAGACTAACACGGCTACCTCTCTGATACTTATTCATTTGTGTGGCTCTTCTTGGAACCCTCTCCAATTTATCAACATCCTTCTCGAACTGTGGACACCAGAAGAGGGCACAGTATGGCACTAGTGGGTTGACTTGACAGAAGCATCCGTAGAAGGCAATGAGAGGAAACGATTAGAACAGCTGCTCTTGTGAGATGCTACTGTGTTCTCCAAGAGTAATGAAGAGCTTGGGAGATATGATTGATGGAACATCAGACCCGGTTTAAACCCGGCAGTGTTCCTGTGAGGCAGCCCCCAGCTTGGATTCTCCTGGCATAAGGTAGCAGTGAAAGAGAAACTAAGTAGCCTGCTGGAGGATGTCCTGATTGAATAATCTACATTAACTTGCGCTTCACCAGTTGTAATTGTGAAAAAGCCCAAAGGAGACTTGAAGATATGCTCTGACTGAATTCACAGACAGTTCAAGATGGCTACTCACTTCCCCACACAGCAGACATACAGGATAAAATGTCAGAAGCAAAATAGTTCAGCAGTTTTGATTTGGTGTCTGGATACAATCAGATTAAAGCAGGAGATTTCAAGATTTTAAAGTTTGCTTTTGTTTTGCATTGGAACAAAACCCAAATATTCTGAATATTTACAGAACAATGGAATTGTGTCCAAATGCTGGTTTTCCATTCAGGAGAATGTGTCAATATCTGGGGAGGGGAAAGAGAGAGCGTGTGTGTGCGTGTGGCCTGGTATGTGGGAGACCTGAGTTCCAGTTGCTGCTCTCCTGGTCTCGAGTGCCCTGGGTGGGTGCTATGCCCCAATGTACTCTGGTGCATCTCATGTTCAGTCCTCATTTTCCCAACCTAGGGGTTGATCAGCACCAGCAAGACTGAGATTGCACCTCAGGGCATGGATGATCACCTCTGTGTGAGGAGAGATCTTGGCCAGTGTCAAGGCTGGAT